CTAAGGAGACAAAAGATCTGTATGCAGAAAATTATAAGACACTGATGAAAGAAATTAAAGATGATACAAATAGATGGAGAGATATACCATGTTCTTGGATTGGAAGAATCAACATTGTGAAAATGACTCTATTACCCAAAGCAATCTATAGGTTCAATGCAATCCCTATCAAACTACCACTGGCATTTTTCACAGAACTAGAACAAAAAATTTCACAATTTGTATGGAAACACAAAAGACCCCGAATAGCCAAAGCAATCTTGAGAACGAAAAACGGAGCTGGAGGAATCAGGCTCCCTGACTTCAGACTATACTACAAAGCTACAGTAATCAAGACAGTATGGTACTGGCACAAAAACAGAAATATAGATCAATGGAACAGGATAGAAAGCCCAGAGATAAACCCACGCACATATGGACACCTTATCTTTGATAAAGGTGGCAGGAATGTACAGTGGAGAAAGGACAGCCTCTTCAATAAGTGGTGCTGGGAAAACTGGACAGGTACATGTAAAAGTATGAGATTAGATCACTCCCTAACACCATACACAAAAATAAGCTCAAAATGGAGTAAAGACCTAAATGTAAGGCCAGAAACTATCAAACTCTTAGAGAAAAACATAGGCAGAACACTCTATGACATAAATCACAGCAAGATCCTTTCTGACCCACCTCCTAGAGTAATGGAAATAAAAACAAAAATAAACAAATGGGACCTAATGAAACTTCAAAGCTTTTGCACAGCAAAGGAAACCATAAACAAGACCAAAAGACAACCCTCAGAATGGGAGAAAAATATTTGCAAATGAAGCAACTGACAAAGGATTAATCTCCAAAATTTACAAGCAGCTCATGCAGCTCAATAACAAAAAAACAAACAACCCAATCCAAAAATGGGCAGAAGACCTAAATAGACATTTCTCCAAAGAAGATATACAGACTGCAAACAAACACATGAAAGAATGCTCAACATCATTAATCATTAGGGAAATGCAAATCAAAACTACAATGAGATATCATCTCATACCAGTCAGAATGGCCATCATCAAAAAATCTAGAAACAATAAATGCTGGAGAGGGTGTGGAGAAAAGGGAACACTCTTGCACTGCTGGTGGGAATGTGAATTGGTTCAGCCACTATGGAGAACAGTATGGAGGTTCCTTAAAAAACTACAAATAGAACTACCATATGACCCAGCAATCCCACTACTGGGCATATACCCTGAGAAAACCAAAATTCAAAAAGAGTCATGTACCAAAATGTTCATTGCAGCTCTATTTACAATAGCCCGGAGATGGAAACAACCTAAGTGCCCATCATCGGATGAATGGATAAAGAAGATGTGGCACATATATACAATGGAATATTACTCAGCCATAAAAAGAAACGAAATCGAGCTATTTGTAATGAGGTGGATAGACCTAGAGTCTGTCATACAGAGTGAAGTAAGTCGGAAAGAAAAAGACAAATACCATATGCTAACACATATATATGGAATTTAAGAAAAAAAAATGTCATGAAGAACCTAGGGGTAAGACAGGAATAAAGACGCAGACCTACTGGAGAACGGACTTGAGTATATGGGGAGGGGGAAGGGTGAGCTGTGACAGGGCGAGAGAGAGTCATGGACATATACACACTAACAAACGTAGTAAGGTAGATAGCTAGTGGGAAGGAGCCGCATGGCACAGGGATATTGGCTCGGTGCTTTGTGACAGCCTGGAGGGGTGGGATAGGGAGGGTGGGAGGGAGGGAGATGCAAGAGGGAAGACATATGGGAACATATGTATATGTATAACTGATTCACTTTGTTATAAAGCAGAAACTAACACACCATTGTAAAGCAATTATACCCCAATAAAGATGTTAAAAAATAATAATAATTGCCATGTTTCTTTCAAGAACAGGATGTAATTGTTAGAAAGGAAATAATCTGCTTGCAGAAGTCACCTTGGCTACACAGAACTAAAGCAGAGAGGAGATTCTTAATAAAATTATTCTGAGAAGGGGGTGGTTACTTGTATCATAGCTGCATTGCTTCAGAGTAAACGATGGTGCTTGAATCAGAAGTCTTTGCCGCGGACTAGTTGCCTGGCACGGCAGGGGTTCGCTGCAGGTGGGGGATCACTTGCTGCATTTTGGAAAGAGTGTATTTTGATTTTGTCAATGGAAGAAGATACTTAAGGCAGTCAAGATCATTTTGGAGGTTATTTCAGGCATAAGGCAGTGATTTTGGAAATGAAAAGGAAGGGACAAATTTGTGAACTGTTTTAGAATGTAGACTATCTGGGATTTGGTAACCCCCTGTTGACTCATTCACCTCCCTAATCTCACCATCACTTAAACTAGCAGTAGGTCACCATTTTGTACAATTCCTATAATGTGTTCTAAAATCCACCAGCCTTTGAAATCCCTGACCTATTTGGTACCCTCCTCTGGGGACTGCTACTGCTGTCATTTGGGCAAGCTTGTTCTTAAGCCTCTGTAATTGAAGAGCTCCATTCAGAAGCAAATGGGAATAATTGATTTTCATCCTGCAGAGGCTGGAAAAATCAGAGACCACAGGAGGGTTTTTAAAAAGGAGACCAAATCCAGAAATAAATTTACTCCAGAACCCCTTCTTAAGAGAACTCTCTTAAGAATCTTGTAACTGGAAGCCCATCTTTCTGGAATAGATCTGGCTTGACTTTAAAAAAAAAAAAAAAAAGTGGATGTGTGTGCTATTAAAGGAAAAATTGTTCTGACACTTGTTAAAAGAGTAAGGAAGATTTTCAGACGAGTGCAGTAGGAGTATTGCCATAGGGGAGAGAAACCAGGCTCATCTTCATATACAACAAGGACCAGTGGGGATTTTGGGCCAAAGAGGAGGGTGAGTGAGTCAGTGGATGGAAAATTTCTAAGAGGAGACATCAAGGATAGGGGGATTCTTGCTAAACTGACCTAACAGGATTCTTGCTATAGGCAGGCCAAGGGCTTAGACATCAAAGAGGGGGGATGAGGAACTGGATCAGGTATCAAGGGTGGGAGAACTCTTGATAAACTTACTTAACAGAATTCTTGCTAAAACTGGGCTGAGCAGGTCAAAGATAGGATGGGGACCAAAGTCAAGGCCTAGTTGAAAAGAGTGTTCAGAGGAGCCTGACTAAAATTTGGTCAAGGAGAGGGGTGTGTGTGTGTGTGTGTTTTATTTGAAAAGTAATACATGCCTCACCCCTAGAACAAATCAGTCTCAACAGTTTGGTATATAGCCTTCCATATGTTAGTATAGGCTTAGAAAAATACACTGTTCTTACAGAAATGAGATCATACGCTACATACTGTTATGCAGGTGCATTTCCCACTTCATATATCTTCCACGTTTTTTCATGTCAGCACATATACACTGGTCTCATTCTTTAGAATACTTTGCGTCACTTTAGATATTGATGCCAAACCCTTATATTTTAAATTCCAGTTTATAATTTTTTTCACATACGTTATCCCATTTATTCCATAAAACAACTCTCTCAGGGTAGGGATAGGACAAGTGACATGTCTACTTTATATAAAGTTTAGATGATCTACTAGAGATTTTGTAGCTAATGCAATGTGTCAAATCCAGGATTCACTCATATGGGTCAGTTGCATGTGTGAAAAAAAAATTAGATCTTTGACATTCAGCTTACAAATTAGCAACATTCAGAATACTATTTTTGTTGTGATGCTTGGGACATTTAGGAAATATATGTGGTGTGTATTGGACCTAGAATCTGATAATAAATTTCATTGGAGGTGTACATGACTTTTACATTATTAATTTCTATCTTGAAATTTTGTTATTTTAATTTCCTTAAAACAACAAAATTATCATCTTTAAATACTTTAAGATTAAATGAATTCAGTCAGCTTGTAGCTTTCATTATAATGTTGATGCTTTCAGTAGTTACCTTAAGTAACAAGATTTGTCAGCTAATTGGATTTCTGGAAATGTTAATAGGAATCTTTTGGTTAACTACCTCTATTCATTTCCCTCTGGGACCCGGTTCCTACCTAGAATATAGTGCCTCTCTTTCAAGACTCTTTATTGGTTTCCTATAACCCTGGAGAGAAAAAAATGAGTAAGACAATGAATGAGGGGCGGGGAATGTGAAGCAGGGTGGAAGTGAAAGTGTATGAGCTGTGGGAAATTCATCTTATTCAGGAATGAGAAAAAACAGCTGAGAGAGTGGTTTTCAAGAAGTTGTATATAGCACAGTGTTAAGATTTTGGAGTTAAACCAGTGTCACCCATTCCAGCTCTGTGACTCTGGTTAAGTTATTCATCCCCATACTTGTCAGTTTCCTAGGGTTCCCTTATAGGGTTCTGGTGGGAAGTAAACAGTGAGTTGTTTAATCCACTTAAAGTATACTTGGCTCATAGCAAACATTTAATATTGGCTGTTATTTCCAGGCCGTTTAGACTCAAAATACCAAGAAAAGGGTCTCAAAGTCTGGATGGAGTAAAGTGACCATATAATTTATTGTCCAGGCTAGGATTCTGTTAATAATTATGCTGGGACAACAAATATAAGCCAGGATTTATGGTTTCCCTAAGTTGGAGGCATCTTTGCCCCCAAATGTGACTGATTAAGGCATCTTGCCTTCCTACCCAGCTCAGTTAAGCCTGTGGACTTTGACAAGCCAAGGAGCAAATCATTCTTAAAAGCTTTTCTGCGTGCGCACGCACACACACACACTCTCTCTCTCTCTCTCTCTCTCTCTCTCTCTCTCTCTCTCTCTGTCATATACTCACTGAACAATACAAGAAACCTTGCTTTTTCTTTCCAGGTAACCATGTTACCTTAGAATATGAATCTGCACATATATTTAGACAAATCTGTACATTATTTTTTACTCAAAAAATAACTTGACAGGATATTTGAGTTCTTAGAAATAGTTTCCATAATCTAAAAAAGTAATTCACCATAGCCATCTTTAAATAGCTAGGCCCCCTCATGCTTTTATGTGTAGATTTCTCTTACCTGTGTAGATTTCTCACACCTTTATGTGTAGATTTCTCTTACTGCATATGCCCGGTGCAGTGCTTTCTTGACAGTGAGGATACGGTGGTAAACATAACATATTCCGATCTGCCCGGAAGTTGCTTGTGGTCTAGTGAGAAAGGCAATCAAATAATGACAAATACAGAGCTCTGAACTGAGATCATTGTCATCAAGGCAGAGTACAAGGAGCTCTACAAGTAGCTCATGAAGAGCCCTGCCTGGCCTGGGGAGGAAAGGAAAGAGTTCCCTGAGGAGGAGAGCTTTGCTCAATGCTGAAGGGGAGTTGAAGAGGCAGGAGGGAACGGGGGGTTGGGGAGGAGGCAGGAGGGAGCCCGACCTTCTAGGAAAGAAGAGCCTGCATTAGGAGTGCAGAAAACTAGGAAGTGTTTGCTCTTAAAAGATCACCTTGGCTGCAGTGTGATCACACACCCTTCCCCCTGGTTGCAGAGCCCTTTCATCCCTTTTTCTTGAGAACGGATGCCATTCATCCGAGCTGTAACCCGTGTTCCCTTAGCATTTGCAGTTCTTTTTATAGCACGAATCTCACTGCATTATAATTTTTTGCTTCTACGCCTCTGAGGTTCTTTAGGGCAGTGGCTTGGTCTTATTTATTATAAGGAACCTAGAATAGCACAGTGGCTTTTCTGCTCCTTCCCCTCCCCACAAATATTTGACTATTTACTCTGTGCCCTGTACTGTGTGCTTGCATGTTTGGGAAGGTGGTACAAGATGGGCACGGTCCTTGCTATCATGGAGCATGTGATGTGACAGGAGTCAGAATTTTGAACTCTGGAGACCATTTTCATGCAGTTCAGCACTTCTGTGACTTTTCCTGCTGTTGTGGAACAGAAACAGTGAATGCTGGAGTGTTAAGAAGCCAGGCTGAGGTAAATTGAATCAAATAAAAGATAAGGGCCCCCAAAGTAATAGTGTAAACGGTGAGGGAAATATGGCTTGTAAAAATGTGATTATACATTATTCCTCATGACTGCATCGCAGTAAGAGCAGCGCGCTCCCGCGGTGGTATCTTGTCTCAGGTTGTCATATCCATGTCCATGTTGAGACTGTGCTCCCTCTTGCCACCATTCCCATTCCCCCTTCCCCTTACCGGCGTTGATAGGGAGGCAGTGATTGAAAATAGCAGTTACTGGCGTGAATGTACAAGGTTTCTAACAGTCCCTGCTCTCCAGGAACTTGCTGGTTTGTGTGTATGTGTGGTGGGCGGAGGGTGGGTATTGTGTGTGCACAGATTACTGACTAGAAACAGAAGACCCTTGTTCTTGGCAGGAGAGGGGAGAGCTCCTTGCTGGCTTTGTGGAAAAAGGGGGCCATCCTTCCAAGTTTTTTGTGTGAGTTGTGTCACCTGTGAGGTTAAAATGGGGCGTTGCCTTTCCACTGTGTTTCTCTCTCATAAGGGAATAAACCCTTCAAAGTCACTGCCTTTCGTCACATGTTTGAAACACAAAACTCATGGCCACAAAAGCCAAGGTGACCAGAAATATACATTTCATAGTTGACAAGGACTTGTCTAGCCTGACGTGTTGTGTCAGAATCGTTTCTGCACCATCCTTACCAGGGGGCATTTGTACACACCTGAGTTCTTTTCTGGGAAAGCAGCCACTTCTAGCTCTTAGCTCTGAGCTTCAGGTGTTTCCTCCATATTTCTGATTATTATGCTTATGTTGCTGTTTCTTGATTTAAAAATTTTACACATTCTCTCTCAGTCTTTGTTATGGAAGAGCAGGGTTTAGCTTTCTTGCATTCTCTCGGTCCACTGCCTCCCCCTTCATCCTTCAGATATGTCACAATTTTTAGTTACATCAGTATCTAATGTTTATATTATTATGCTATTAGTATTATTCACCTGCTGAACCAATTAATATACTCCAATCCTTTTTTTTTTTTCTCGTTCTGCCTCTCTTGTTGGTTTTCTGAGTTTCCTATGTCCAGCTCACCCTTAATCCCCAAACTAAAACCATACTTTTTAAATCCCTAAATATTCTTTTCCACATTCCAGGCAGACCCATCAGTTGATCTTGTCAGTTTTATTTTCTCCCACAGATGCCAAAGCCCTGCATCCTCCAGCGATGGTTGGGTATTTCTGAGGCTTGCTGTACACTTGATTCCCTTTGCCTTTTTTTGTCCCGTTTCCTGGATGCCTGTCTTCTCTCTTGGTTTGCTCGCTTACTTGGTAGAGCGCATCCTCCAGTCACTTCCTGATAAAAGGGTGTGTGGGAGGTAAAATTTAAGACTCTGCATGTCTAAAAATATCTTTATTCTCTGTTTATACTTGACTGATTCTTTGTCTGCTATAGAATTCTAGGTTGGAAATCATTTCACCTTCGAATTTTGAAAGCATTGCTCCTTTGTCTTATGGCTTACAGAAACGAAAGCAGTAAGACTTTTTGAAAGTCTTGAAATTATTGAAAATTCTGATGCCAGTCAGTCCTTTGTATGTGAACTGTTTTTCCTCTCTGGAGACTGTATTCTCTTTATCCCATGTATTCTGAAATTTCACAGTGTGCCTTGGGATGGGTCTTTTTAAAAATTATTTATTGTACTAAGTATAAGATGGACTCTTTGAACTGGAAGTTCATATCATTCAGTTCTAGGAAAATTTATTTCTTTGATAATTTTCTCCTCTCTTTCTCTGGAACTCTTGGTCCTCTAATTTTCTTATCTTTTCTCTGGAATTTCCTATCTCTTTTTTGGTTCCACTTTCTGAAGGATTTACTGAACTTTATCATCTAGCTCTTTATTTATATTTATATTTCTACTGTAATTTTTTAAAAAATTATTTTATTTATTTATTTTTGGCTGCATTGGGTCTTTGTTGCTGTGCGCAGGCTTTCTTTAGTTGCAGCGAGCGGGGGCTACTCTTCATTGCGGTGCGCGGGCTTCTCATTGCGGTGGCTTCTCTTGTTGCAGAGCATGGGCTCTAGGCGCATGGGCTTCAGTAGTTGTGGCACGCGGGCTTCCGTAGTTGTGGCACATGGACTCAGTAGTTGTGGCTCACAGGCTCTAGAGCACAGGCTCAGTAGTTGTGGCTCATGGGCTTAGTTGCTCCACGGCATGTGGGATCTTCCCGGACCAGGGCTCGAACCCATGTCCCCTGCATTGGCAGGCGGATTCTTAACCACTGTGCCACCAGGGAAGTCCCACTACTATAATTTTTTAATTTCCAAAAGCTTTACACTGATTGTTCCAATTTTTTCTAATCCAGTTCTTGTGTGATAATAGGCTTTTTTGGTTGAAGTTTTATTTGGTTCCTTAGAGTCCCTTTATTCTGTTTGTTTTGTGCTCTCTCTTTTCATGTTGAATGCTTTCCTCAAATGTATGGTTCCTCAAATGTATGGTGATCCTTGGTTGTCATTTTAATTTAAAAGTGAGACACCAAAAAAGCCGATTGGATGGTCTATATAGAGGTGGGATGAACTTGTCAGGGTTGGGTTTTATATGCTCTATCTAGGGTGTTTGGGCAGGAATCCACCTGCTTTGTTGGGGAATCCCTGAAAGTCAGCATCTATTGAACCGTTCTGTGGAGTCATTTGGTTTCTACAGGAAAAAATCTTCTAACCTTCTGTTTGCAAGTGGAGGGTAGGGCTCTTAGCATTTTGGGAGCCAAGTGGGTGAGCAGGTCTGGAACCTCGTCCTTCAGGATGTAAACTTCCTTTTAGGGCCTTTGTTTTCGGTACAGTGCCTCTTCCTAACTTCTGCTGTTCCTAAAGTCCCTGGGTTTAGAGCCCACCTGGTTCAGTTTCTTCACAAAATAAATCCACCTTCTCCTGCCTGGGTGCAGGGGTAATAGTCTACTGGCTGCCCTGGATGTGACCGGAGACCTGGTGGGCTAATGCTGCTGCATACAGAATTTGTATCCAGTCCTCGTTTTCAGCCCCTCCTCATCTCTGGTCTCCTGTGCCACCAGCTACTTCTAATCACTGACCCTTCCCAGGGTGCTTGTGTGAATTGGCATCCCCTTCCCTGGATGCAGGGATTCACTTTCTTAGCTTTGCTAATTTATCTACTTTTCATCTTCCAAAAATGTTGACATTTTATGTTCACTGTTATCCTTCTCGTATTCTTTTTTTGTTTGTTTTTACTCTCATTTTAGTGGGTTTCAGGATTGAGCAGAAATAAAAATACATGTTCAGTTTTTCCCAGTCAACTAGAATTCCTTTGGCATTGTTTTGGGGGTTTCTTGTCTGATCATTTCATGTCTGTAAGTTGTGTCTTTCTTCAAAGATCACAAGCTTCTTTGACAATGGGAATGGTTTCCTAGACTCCTTATTATCTCTCCTTTTACCCTCAACAGTTAATTATGTAGAAAGCATTTTAGTAAGGACGTGTCAAATTCATTTGAGTAAGATGAAGTCTTTTTAAAATTAGACTGACTTTGGACAGTGTTTCCTTCTGTTGGAAAACTGCCAGTCCTTCCTGAGGTTCAGAGATAAATCTGCCTTTGCAAGGATAACTAAAAGAGGAAAACAGAGAAGGCCTTTGGCAGAAAAAGGCTGATGAGACAAACTCCTGTTTAGACCTTAATGATTTAATGAAGAATTGATGGAGAGCTGCCCAGAACCTCTCTTCCCCCTCAAGTTTGTTGCCGTTGCTCCCTCTTCACAGGGTCAGTGATGGAGCAGGCCCTTTTCCGAGTTGGTGTTCTGAGAGTCTTTGACTTCCTAAGGACTAATGCAGGAGGAGACCCACAGAGCTTCAAGTTTTTTAAAAAAATACATTTATTTATTTATACTTGGCTGCATTGGGTTTCTGTTGCTGCTCGCGGGCTTTCTCTAGTTGCGGCAAGTGGGGGCTACTCATTGTGGTGTGCGGGCTGGTGGCTTCTCTTGTTGTGGAGCACGGGCTCTAGGCATGTGGGCTTCAGTAGTTGTGGCATGTGGGCTCAGTAGTTGTGGCTCACGGGCTCTAGAGCGCAGGCTCAGTAGTTGTGGCGCACGGGCTTAGTTGCTTCGTGGCATGTGGGATCTTCCCGGACCAGGGCTCGAACCTGTGTCCCCTGCACTGGCAGGCAGATTCTTAACCACTGAGGCACCAGGGAAGTCCCTCCAAGTTGTTTTGTCTCAACAGTTAAGGTCAAGAGCCTGAATAAACT